AAACATTCTTTCTCTAAAACTCTGTTTTACAAAAAAAGTGATATCAAAAAGTAACACCAAGTAAACTTTTGTTTGCTTTATTGCTAAAACTTCTTTTTCTATAAAACCTGTTTTACAAAATAGTCCATACAGCACAGAAGCTTGCAGCAACATTGCTGCAACGTTGCAACATTGCAACTGTAGTGCAATGTTGCAGAGATATTGCAAAAACATTATTTGGAAATATTATTCCAGCATTGTTGCAGCAATATCTTAAAACATTGTTAGAATTGCGTATAAATATTAGCGTGTAATCGGTGACTGTATTACAGATATAGTGTCAGATTTTTGCAATTCAATGTACGTAATTTGTGAAGCCTGGTATTACCACATGTTAGTGTCTTGTTTAACTTCATACGTTTTTTTCGCGCGAAAAAAGCCATGAGCGGATCTAAGCCAGGAATACAGACTTGGGCTGCGTTTATCTCTGCACATTTATAATTTTATTATTAAGTATAAATTATTATAAATAAATATATATATATTTTATAATTTAGACTATTATTTATAATTAAAATACCATTGCAGATTGATTTTTAACATTATTATGTTATATTTTTAACATTACTATGAGTATTATTTATTTTATACAGTATTGGTCGGTATATTATAACTTTCACTCATGAAATTATAACATTCTATATAATTTTAGAACGATTTAGTTTTGTATGTTTCCACACAGAACAAAAACTTTATTAATCGCCCATAGACATCACCAGGTCTATCTACATTTAATAGATGTCTATTGGAGCTTCTGTTCTGTATGTGTTATTAAAACTATTATGCCAATATATATATATACACATATATATATATATATACACACACAAAGTATTATTGCATATATATTATACTGCAATGTTACATTGCAATATTTCTGTAAGCGGACATTTTACTGTTGCTGCAATACTGCAACAACGTTGCTGTAACATTTTGCAATGTTTCTGCAATGTTGCAATCTTGCACAACAATATTGCTGCAATCTTGCTGTGCGGTGCGTTGCTGTATGGGAGAGAATGTATGATATCTCGAAAAACTTATCTTTTCAAAAAAGGTAAAAAAAGACGCTAAGTACACGCACAACACGTACTGTATTTAAATTGAATCAAACTACATATATTATATACATCGATATTCTAATATTAACATTCTTAGAAACAATTGTTAATACTTCCTTCTTGTTAGTTGATAGAAAAAGAAGAATTATTAATATGCAGTGAGAGTTGCGATTACATTTAATAAAGCGTTCACACACTTCACCGAATATGATATAAGATTTTACTTAATATAATATTTTAAGTAATACTTGCAGTAAAGATGGTTTACAAATTATGTGTGTGTGTGTTGCTAATGTGTGTAACACATGAGCGACATACATACTATGACATACTATATAATAAATAATTTACTGAAAACAACAGATGCTTTCACGATGTTTCATCACGGTGAATAAATTGTATCATTGGGTTTGCTTTCCAAGTTGGTTACGCGTTGTTTTTGTTTCGCATCGACTACGTTTCTTAAACTTTGTCGAGTTGCTGCTTATCTTTATAAAATGAATTGAAAATGTCGCGAAACGTTGGATGCTAAATCGAAAATAACGCGTATGTAATCGCAACTCTCACTGGATATTAATAATTCTTCTTTTTCTATCAACTAACAAGAAGAAAGTATTAACAATTGTTTCTAAGAATGTTAATATTAAAATATCGGTGTATATAACATATGTAGTGCATTACAATTGCAAAAAGGTGGTATTTTTCTAATTATATTTTTTATTACTTAATAACAATTGTTAAAATTTCCTTCACGACGGAAGAAACCACCTTCTCGCGGTTTCCGTCGAGCAACATGTACGTCGTATAAATGTGCACTATAGATACGTCAAACATATTTATTAAATACAAATATAATAGAAATATTGATTTAAATTAAAAGAATGTGTTTTTTATGTTATTTGAATTTTAGTTTTTTTATTTTTGCTAAAAAGTTTTACAAGTATTGTAGTAGTTTTACATATATTTTTATAAAAACATTTATTTAAAAGAAAAAAAAACGTACATATTGGCCAAGAGTGGATAATTTATTATTTTATTTGTTGCATGTTTTGTACATATAAATTTTATGTACACATACATATAAAGAAAATGTTACAATACTAAAGAAAAGTCAGAGAGCGAGCCGGGCGAACTCAAACATTTCTTACGCCGCTTACGACGTTATTGAGAGATGAACGTCGTATCGCACACTCGCTCGAGCAAGAGCGAGACAGAAAGTCATTTCTCTGTCTCTTTCTACTGCCCGACTGCGTCCGAAGTTCGAGCGCACACGTAGACGGCATGAAGCTGTGTGCGTATCCCCTCCATGCTACCGCATGCTACCAAGCGGCNGGAATCTGGCATCCCTGCTTTGCGGTCTGTATCAGATATTAAGCTGATAAAAACAGAGTAACTATCTTTTAACCAATTAATGTTTCCCGGGGGGACAAGCTCTCTCGAGGTAGAGTACAAAATAATTTCTGAATCGGACGTTGCCGCCCACGCTCGTGCGTAAAACTTAAATAACAATTGGCCGGGGACAAGATCCCCTGGCTAGGAGGCGCAAAAAACTACGTGAGAGAGGGCACATATGGTACTTACCTTCTCCAGTGAGGGGTAAGATGCACCCCCTCGTCACGGCTAAAGTGTTGTGATAATGATATTGCCCCAGCTAGCCGGCTGGGACGATATCTGCAATATGGGCGCTATACTTCTTGTTATACATATGTATAAGCTCCCAGGCCAAAACGCAGTGCCAATATCAAATATAAGGGCCTGGAAGCTGCGGCGCGGCTAAAATATCAATTTTTTCGTGGCGTTACTCTGATGCATGCTCAAATCAACAGCATGCACAATAACAATAATAATGCAAATAATTAATTAAATAAATAAATAAATACACGCGACACATACACTCGACTAAAATACAAAAATAATAAGACGCGACATACACACACGGCTAAAATACAATATAAAAATTCGCGACACTTGCACTCGAAGGTCCGCATAAAATAACATGAAAGTCAAAAGTAAAATAAAAAAAAGTCTGAAGTAAAAATAAAATCAAATAAACGCAGTCAAATAAAATAAAAATAAAAGTAAAATTGTCCAGTAATAACTTACGCGACATACACACTCGAAATAAATTAAACGCACCTAACATAAAAACATAATAATACGCTTTATACAACTTATAGTACGCAGGGAGAGGAGGACCCTACACCTGGCGCCCGCGGTGCGCCAGGATCGCCATCTCCTGTTCCCCGTAGCGTCGGCAAATCGCTCGCGTGTTGTCTCGGAGCGTTCCGCCGGAAGACCGAGCAGCCGCCGCGTACTGCCGCACCCCGGAGAGGTGCTCTACGTATATATCCCGCGACCAGCGGATGGTATCGGAAACCATGAGATGGCGCATCATTGCTGCATACGTGTTAGAAACACGCAGCAGCTTCAGCACACAATCATTTCTCCGGTCCCATGAGCCAAGAGAGCCGACCACGAACGGCGTGACAACCACACGGTACCTTTCCCGCGTGAGGGTCTCCGCAAGAAGAGAGTACTTGTCGACTTTCCTCGCTCTTGCCTCATCGAACGCCTCACGACGGTTCTCGAAGGGCACCGTGACGTCAATAATAATAATTGACCTCGACTGCTCGTGACGAATTACGAGGTCGCGCCAAAGACTCGCGAATTCGTCGTCGACCCTCTTGACCCGCTGATTAATCCGGACATCACCTGGCAGACGGGAAGCCTTAGCAAGACGGAGCAACAGGTCATTATGCCTGAGCAGTATCGCATCCGCGTGGACCCCACAGTGGTTAATGACGTGGGGAAGGGTCTCGGCACACCCTCTGCACCGCCGACAACGCGCATCGCTCTCCTCCAACCGACGTGCGCCGTTGTGCGGCAACACGTCGAGTCGGGCTCGGTGCAAGAAGCGCCAGTCGGCGAAACGGATGAAGCTGCCAGTGCGTATGAAGTGATTGGTCACTCCATGACGCATGGCCACCTCGAACACCTTTCCCTGATCCTTTTTAGCGAGCAGAGTGCTCGTATAATACGACACGATAGCCAGGCGCAATGTGTGATTGACCTGCGCTCGTGCCACTGGTGGGATCTTCACCAGGGTATTCACGGACCCTCGACAATCCAAAAGTAAGTTGAGCCACGACTTGGCCAGCCTCCTTATCTGCTTGTCCGCGACTTTCACGAAGCCCTTCTCTACTTTGACACTCCGCAACAAGAAGTCGAGACGTGGCAGGATGTAAGGTGCCACTATCTCGACTCGCTGCCACGAGGTTAGCAAGGAGCGCTCGACGCGCTGCAAATCCTCCATCATGCCTTGGATCGTAGAATAAGGGTTCTGATCGACGGAAAACCCCGTTGGAATGCCGAGGTGCCTGTAAGACTCCCTCTCTGACAGGCAGTACATCATCTCTCCCTGGATCTCGAAGGGGGTTGGGAGGACGCGATCCATCCTCCCCGCTCGAATGTGCAAACTCGCACACTTTGCGGGATTGAACCGCAGACCTATTGACCGCGATTCGGTTTCCACGACGGTGAGAAGTCGTTGCATCCCCTCTGGAGAATTCGCGAGTAAGGCAATATCGTCCGCGTACGCAAGTGCGGACCACCGCTGCCCTAAAATGGTATAGCCCGTATTTATTGCGGTGGCCGCGCGCAGCACGGAGTTTATCGTGAAATCAAAAAATATAGGGCTTAACGGGCATCCCTGTTTTACTCCAGAACGGATGGGGATTGGTGCCGTCCACCCATCGGACGTGCGCATACATGTTGTGCACCCTTCGTACATGGACCCCCATAAATTTGTGAGAGACCCAGGCACGCCGGACCGAGCAAGGACCCTAAGGATCGTCGCGTGCGGGACCGATCCAAACGCATAGGATAGATCCAGCCACGCCACGATCAATTCACGTCGAGAGCGCCTCGCATCTGTATCAGGATTTCCTGCAGGACGAAGTTGTGCTTGTAGGACCCCTCGTCCTGCAGGAAGCCTTTTTGGACGGAACAAAGCTTCTTATAATCTATCGCCCAGTCCGTCAGTCGATCGGCTACGACCGCGGCAAAGAGATTGGGCGTAGTATCACCCATAGCGAGAGAGCGCCAATTTTCCAGATCATTCTGGTCGCCCTTCTTGTACACTAACATGGTGTTGGAGTTCTTCCAGGACGCGGGAACTACCTCTAGGCGCAAATAGATATTAAATACCGCCGTGAGAAAGCGTGACTCAGGATCAGTTTCACGGAGGTCCCTGTAGGTCAGCCCGTCGGGCCCAGTGCTGAGTTGCTCACACGTCGGATGCGACGTTCGACCTCTCGCTCTGTGAAGGGATCCGTGAGGAACGCCATCTCACTAGCAGTTAGAGACTGGTCTGGCTCCACGGCGTCGGCGCCATCCAGCGGCAAGCCGCCGCCGCGGTATAGCCCGGTAAAGTACTCATGGACCCAATCTTTCTGCATCCTGCAAAATTCAGGGGGCCTATGAAGCACTTCCCGAACCTTGCGACGGTTGCCTCTGTATACGCGCCGCTTCGCGTACCCAGTTTGCGCGTCCTTTTCCCGATTCCCCCTGGCGATTTTTCTCTCTAGTAGCGCCGTCTCGTCCACCGGGCGCATGTCCTGCTCCTCGACGCGGTCGCTCCGACTTCGCACGCACTGGACGATTTGCGGATACGCCGCGACGATGCCCAGCGTCCGTTGCATCCTTCCCGAAGTAATTCACAACTAATGTCGGGAATTCCTTTAGGTCCGCAACCGTGGCGACGCCCGCCGCACGCCCGACCAGCGCGTCTTTTTCGGCTAACCGCGCGCGCCTGCCCCGCTTCTCAGCGGGAACAGGACGCGGCGCGGGGCGCTGCGGAGACGACTGGGGGGACGTATTGTTGACGGGACGCCGCGGGCTCTGCGCATCGACGGACGCACCGCTACAAGGCGATCTCGACGCTGCCCGCTCGACACGCCCGTGGGTCGCGGGATTTGTATTTACGGGAGAACGCCCCCGACGGCGGCAACGCTGACAATTTTCAGCCTCCTCTAAAATGGAGTAATTACTCCGATTTCCCCCGGGCAACGGAATGGGGGGATAATTCGCCGACGTTACGGGTGGCGGGGTACGCGTCGCGCGCGACCCCGACTTCGCCGGCACAATAACTGGGGAAGTTTCCGCGGGGGGTTTGGCGGAGTTTCTTCTCTCCGCTCTTCTCCCGCTTTAGACATCCGTTCCCCCGTTGTCTCTCGGTCGTGGCGTCGACTTCTTCTTCTGCTGCTGCTGCTGCTGCCGCTGCTCCACTTCAGGGTGTTTGTAGGGTGGAGTTTTCCTCTTTTTCGTCTGGCTCTACGCACCCTCTCCTATCTCTAGGGAGAATCCTTTGTTGCAGGGTGCAGTGGTCGAGACGGTACGCTGCACCAACGGCGGTGACTGACATTTCGCTGCTACGGGGGGACTTGATGTTCTGCGTCCTCCCACTGGGAGTCCCGTTGCCATGATTGGACTCCCACACGCCGTAGTGGTCACCGTGGTGGTGGTGACGGTCGCGGGCAGCGACGTCGTTGGCACGTACAGCTGTAGAATTTCGGGGGGCATCGCTACTCTGATATTTGATGTAATCCTCGGTGCCCTCGCTGTTGATACTGGGGAAAGCGCTGAAGGGGGTGTGACTTACGCGTCACCTCCCTATTGACTGCTTCTCTCGTACGTGGCGACGCCGCTGCTGCCGGCCTTGTCGCCACGAGACTGGCGGGCGATAATCTTGCCGGCATAGTTGCAGAGCTCTTCGCGGGCGATACTCTGGCGCTCTGCAACCTCCGTGACGACCCCCTGTCTCCGTCTCCTGGCCTGTTCTGCCTTAGAGACAGGTGAAACCTCCTCGTCGCCTCAAAGCTTTTTGCGACCGGGATGTCTTTGACCGTCCGCTTTTTCATCGATGTTCTTGCACCCCCGCTGGTAGTCTGCGGGGGTGACTTCGCTGCGGACGGTCTTCTTCCCGCAACACCCTCTGGTGATATTCGTGCCGAGCTCCCTTCCGTCGGGGAGCGGGGGATCGCACGCGCCGGTCTGGCTGCTCCGGCTAACGTCCTGCTGTGCGCGCCGTGCGCCCGCCGCATTCCAATGGATTCTTGGGATGACGGTGTGGCGGCGGACGATCTCGAAATTCTTGAGGTTCCTCCCCCCCTGGCGGTGTAGCTGCCTGCTGAGGATGGTGATAGGAGGAGGGAGGGCGGCGCGTGAGCGACGAGGTGCCGGCTTTCTTAATAAAGTTGCTACCCCCACTAGAGGGTCTAGACAAATTCGCGACCGTGTCCGTTCGTCTTGCGGCAGCTGTCCTCGTTGACGTTCGTGTCGACGACCTCTTTGGGACCGCTCCCTTTGATGCTCCCGGCTGGGACACCGTCTTCGCAGCCGTCGCACTCGACGGCCTTATGGTGACGGCGGCCGCCTGTCCTGCTGTGACGGCTGCGTATGTGGTGGATGGACCTGATGTTATGGTCGCTGATGTCGATGATGGCGGCGTTAGTGGTAAAGAGGGTCCGCTGGGTGAAGTCCGTAGACCTGGACGGACCCTCTTATTGGCGGTGGCGGTGGAGTGCGTGCCGGGTTGCCGCGAGATGGTGGGCTTTTTAGCGGAAAGGTTCTTGTTTGTTGTCGGGGCCGCGGACAACGCAGAAGATGGCGCGGCTCCACGATCACTCTCTAATCTACTTGGACCCGCCTTCGCAGCATCCGGGAGTGGGGGATGGAATTTCTCTATATGTTGTTTTACGTCTTTCTACGGGTATCTAGTTTTCCCCCTGTACCCGCTCATTGCACATTTGTAGCCTATAGTGTCTCCCGGATGGTCTCGTTTCAAATGTTTCGCTAAATGAGGCGAATCCGCAAATGTTCCAGCGCGTAAGAAAGGACGCAATACGTCGCTGCCATAGCAGCGGAGTCAAACGACACGCGCGGGAAACGGAATTTTAATAATTATTTCTAGTGGCTCGGCTCCTAGAAACATTTTGGAACTCTCGCTGTACAGTGCCTGTGTGAATCCGCTTTAAGGACGCTACGCGATGTCGTCTCAATTGACGACGCACCTGTCAACGTTTATTGATGAAAAAGGAAATAAATTGATAAGGAAAAATGCACCGTTAATTAATGGGTGCGTTCAGACAACTCAACGGTTGAGAGATCATCACTTATGATAAGACTGTTCTTCAAAATTTGCTGCGGTTCCAAAAGTATGATCCAATCAGAAGTGATTATCTCTCAACCGTTGTGCAACTATTAAGTTGTCTGAACGCACCCAATTATTGCAGATTCTGCACCAAATAAATTGCGTGCAGATAACCCGGGTGGCAAGTACTAAAACAATACCGTAAGTGCTGCACTGAAAGTGCAGGTACAAGGTGCAGTTGGTGGAAGTGTGCTGCAGTGTGCCCAGTTTTGACTCTCTTACAGCACGCTGCAGCAAACGGAGGGGATACGCACACAGGCAAGCAGCCGTGTACGTGTGCGCTCGACGCTTCGGCCGTCTTCGGGCGGTAGAAGAGAACAGAGATATGTC